AAAAAAAGTATTTTCATTGTTATACAGTCCGGTCTGCCCCCTACCACCACTTTACTATTATGCAACTCTTATTCTGGACTCTTGTCATACCAATAATACCTAATCATACAGTTCCTCCTTTAAAAATCATCTCCATCTCGACTTGTTCCCACATTTCTTGGAACGCTGAGGCTTTCTTACATCACACATGAAGAAAGAGGTTGTGGGAAAGTTATGGTGGAAGCAGTTACAGGTTGGTGATGGGGATGCAGATGATATTGAAGATAAGCACAAGAGAGGACATTTAGTGAACAAATCTTAGGATGTCAGGCACTGTGCTAAGGGTTTTTACATTCTTTATCTCACCCAAGCAACCTACAAGTGTTTAATTTTACAGATGTGGGGAAAGACACAGTGAAACTAATGACCTTTCTTAGACTGGGGTTCACCCAAGAAATAGTAGTGTGGCTCAACTTGCGCATATTCCAAATGAGGCCCAGACTGCCCGCATTGGTCCAGCTCCATCTGCAGTGCAGGGTCTACAGGCTCACACGGGTGGCGAAGCTGCAGCATTCGACTCCTCGCCACAGCCCCTTCCCCCCGACACCCCCGGCCCCGCCTCACCTTGGCCAGCCTGGCTCTCTTAATGAGGTCGTTGAGCTTGCGCAGGGCAGCGTTTCGAGGCAGACTCTGGATGTCTCTGAACAGGTCCTGCTCCTCAGCCTCAAAGAGCTTCCGGTTGTCGGGGATGAGGAGAGGGTGGGACCAGAAGGAGCCGATGTAGACCCGGATGACTTCGGGGGTGTTCACGATCTTCCCCAGCGACCACATGAGAGCCCCGTACACGCGCATCAGCTGCTGCGTCTCAATCTGGTCGGCTTTGTTGAGCACCACACGCATCTTGTCCTCATGGTTTTTGAGGGCCTTGATGACCTCGGAGAACTCATCGGAGATGTCCAGTTTGTGGGCGTCAAAGAGCAGAATGATGCGGTCGACCCTCTCGGCAAACCACTCGAGGACAGCTGCAAAGTCATAACCTACGGGGAGACGCAGACAAGGGGAGGCGGTCAGGGAAAGCAGGAAGACCGCCGACTCCAGAGCCAGACACGCCTGCGCTCCAAGCCAGACTCCTCCTCCACATGTCACTATAAGGCCTTTGGCAAATAGCTCAGTGATTCAGAGCCTTGGAATCTATAACACGGACATAATAATAATGCTCAACTCATAATTTTTTTATCATGAGGATTAACTAGACTCGGAGTCCAGCATATAGTAGATGCTCAGGAAATGCCAGTTAGTTACTAACAACATTATAGGGAGTTCTAGTAGCTTACTGGTAAGGAGTTGCATTGCAAACCCAAAGACAGGTTGTTCAAATCCACTAGCTGCTCCAATGGAGACAGATGCCAAGCTCTTCCTGTGTGATTCAGTGCGTCTGAAAACTCTATGGAGGGTCTGCTATGAGTCAGTTCCGACTCTACAGTACATAACAACAACAACATTATACTCGTCATTCAGCCAGTAGCCAGCTCTTCCTCTTTGCTTACTGCATTTATCAGCCAGGAGTTACCAGAAAAGCTACTATCAACTCATAATTTACATGAAGACTTAAACATTCTTTAAAAGGTCAGAAAGCAACAAACAGATACAAACAAGAGGTAGATGATTTAGAACATAGGCACCACTGGTGTGGATGTATGGAGGTTCTTGTTATTAAAGCATAGGACTTATTCTCTCATGTTTATGAGTTCACATCTTTCCTAACTTATTAGCTGCAACTCGGAATTCTCAACTCTTACAATCCTAAGAACTTTCTTCGTTATAAAATGACCATACTTTCAGCTCTATCGTGGTTACCTGACAGGAACCCACTTCAGGTCAGGTTGGCTCCAGAAGACTTGGAGGAATTAATCACTGTGCTCATCCTAGAGCAGCTGTGGATCCAGAAGGAGTTAGGACAGGAGATACTGCCAAGTCTGCACACCAACCTCAGATTCACTGACACTCGGAACTGGAAGGGGCCTTACCTCCCTGGGCCTCCAGAACATAAAGAACAATAGATAAGAAAGCGAGGCAAAGTGACCTGCTCAGGGACTTACAGCTCATATGCAGCAGCACTGGGATGAGAACAGAGGCATCAGACAATCCCATCTGAGTTGGAGTGGGGCTTTCAGGTCTCCGTGCTCACCTCCAGCAGCTCTCAACAGGTGGGATCTGTCCTTAGACTCTGGTGTATTCAGCAATCCTGGCTTCCTATAGCCCAAGGGTACAATGACACACACCCCGAGATCCAAGACTCATTGTGACCACTGAGTGAGAAACCAAGCGATTAGGATGAAGGAGAAGTTCCTACACTGTATCACAGAGGGAGGAAGCAGATCATTGGCCAGCTACCTGTCACTGGCTCAGAGACTTTCGAAGCTCTGGTTGTCTTCAAATTTGAGTGTGTATCGAAGTCACCTACAACCCAGATTGCCAGCCAGCTGTGTGATCCAGCAAATGCAGGTGTGGCGGCTCTATAAGGTGCCAGGAGGTCAGGATGTACACAGTCCAGGAACCACTCTGAGAACCACTATGATAGCTAACATTCACAGAGCTCCATGTGGTTTGAATCCACCAGGAAAAGATGGGCAATCTATTCCCATGTAATTAACTGCCTCTGAAAATCTGCTGGAAGGCCAGCTATGGGTTGGTTTTGACTCCACAGTACACAGTAAAAACAATACAACACTCACAGAAGGTGGTGCCCTGTTGGTAGAATGGGTTAAGCATTGGATTGCTAACTAAAAAAGCATCAGGTCTAACCAACAGCCACTCAGCAGGAGAAAGATAAAGAAGTTTACACGTGTAAAGACTTAGAGTCTTGGAAACCCTGTGGAGCAGTTCTACTCCGTCCTACAGGACTGCTAAGAGTTGGAATTGACAGGAATGGGTTTGGGTTTTGATTAATTCTTAGTACCTAGTACTGTACTTCATGATTCTTCACTCATTCTTTTCATTCTTGCAATGACTCCTATAAGACAGACAACTCAAATAGTCTTAATTTTCAGATAAGAAAACAAAGAGAGATGAAGTAGCTTGATGAGGTCACTCAGTTTACAGGCAGTGGGGCTAGAACAGAAAGAAAGGCTCTCGGATCAGTGCTCTTCATGTAACCAGTCCTGAAATGACTTTCAGATGAGGAGATTTCAAATAAAAACAGTGTCAGTGAAATAGGGAACAAGGATGGAAGGGGTTAGACGAGTTAAATGTCAAAAGCACTCTTCTCCAGTGGCATCCTTTGACCAAGCAGAGAGAGACACTTGTGTGCTGGTGAGACAAGTCCGACTCTTAGCGACCCTACGGACACTAGCTCCAAACCCTGCTCTATCCTGAGCCACTCTCACTGCCTCCAACACACCTGTTCCCATTACCCCAGTTACTGTGTAAATCTATCTTATGTGGGGTTTTCCTCTCTTGTGCTGTCCCTCTGCCCTCCCAAACATGATGTCCTTCTCCAAGTACTGGTCCCTCCTTGCAACATCTCCATATATGTGAGACAGAGCTTCAAAATCCTAGCCTCCAAGGAGCAACTTGGTTTCACCTCTTCAGGGCAGACCTATTTGTTCTTTTGGCTCTCGATGGAATGTTCAATACTCTTCTCCAGCACAACCTCAAATGCATTGATTCTTCTTTCACCCTTAATAATTGTCCAACTCTCTGACACATAGCAAGCAATTGTGAAGACCATGACCTGGATCAGGTGTAACGTAGTCTCTAGACCAACATCCTTTTACTTCAGCATTCTGGAGAGGTCTCTACCAGAAGGTTTTCCTAATACAATTCATCTTTTGATTTCCTGACTGCTGGTGCCAGGAGTGCTGACTGTGGAACTGAGCAAGATGAAATTGTTAACAATCTCACATGCTTAGGGTATGGTAAAGTATTATCACAGGCTCAATTTCTGGCCAGTTCACCTTCTAGGTAGCCACTACCCACATGCCACTGGAGGCTTATATGTCACTCTAATGCTAAACAGATGTTTAGCAGAGTTTCTAGACCAAGATTAGGAAGAAAGATCTGAAAATCTACTTCAGAAATACGAATCGAGGAAAATCCTGTGGATCACAACGATTCCCTCCCATTGCACATGGGACTGTTATGTCAGGAGTGACATGATGGCAGCTGACATTGCAATGCCACCCAGAATGATAGGGGTAGGGGATGGGCAGAAGAGACAGTTCCTCTTAAGCTTCTCAGAAGACCCTTTAATGTAGCAAGAGAATGCCAACAGACAAAACCTTGTCTAGACATTCTGCTATGTCGTAACCCACTCTGTCTTTGGTAAATGAAGTGCTTCCACGCATTATTATTTCCAGGAGAGATTCTCTAGATCCGCTACTCAATTAACACACTCTCATGAATTTTCTCTCCTTGCATGTTCCTGTGATAAAAATGGCCTGCTCAAGAGGCAAAGAAGGGCTTGGACATCAGTCATCCACTGTCTGATTTACAAATAAGGAAACTGAGGCTTACATTGGGGAAGAGATGGGTCAGAGTCATCCAAGGATCATCTCAGTGGGAAGGTCTCTGTTTAAAGAATATATGAAGTCATGATAAAAAACTAGATTTAGCCTTTGTATCCAAGGGAAAAGCCCCAATACCAGGATGTATCATTTCAAGTCCCACCTTCTAGATGGGCAGAACAAGCTTGGGGAGATAGTGGCTCACCCTAGGCCAGCCTGCTTATAGGATGTAACCCTGGGGAACAATCCCTCACTCTCCAACTTGAGTTCAGTGCTTGCCCTGGCTGATAAGACTCTCCCAGAGCTGGCTCATTTCATCCTCACAACACCTCAGGAGGAAAGCATGTCATTCTCACTTTACAGAGGAGGAAACTGAGGTTCACAGACATGAAAGGAGAGTCAAACAGATGGCCAGTAATAGTACCAGGTCCTAGAGTCACTGCTCAGGCAGTCAGTCCAGCCTGTGCCCTGTGTACCCCGCTCCCTGGCCTGCAGGCTCAGCCTGCTCCTTCCACAGTGCCCCCAGAGGTCTGCACTCCAGATGGGGCTGCAGCCTGCCTTCCTGTTGAGGGCACCTTTTCTTCTCCCCAGGCTTGGGCTCAGTCTATATTTAACCTTCCCATGTAGATCTCTCACCTCCCAAAGACAGTCCCTCAGAGCAATAGGAGTGAGGGGACAGAGGGCTCAGAACACCTCTAAGCCATCTAAACCCCCTGCTCCAATAACCTCTGTCCCTCAAAACAGGCATTAGCGTGGATGTTCTGGAGCTTGTGGAATCTGTATGCTTTGTCCTCCATGGCAGCAGGCAAGGAGCTCAGAAGTCATAGACATTCTGTGCAGTTATCAGCCCATATCTGGCCTGCTATGAATTTCAGTTCCGAAGAAGCAGTGTGCAGGGAGGGCCAGCTGGGAAGAGCATGCTGCTGGTCTCCCCAGTCTACACAGTGAATGTTGCCCCTCTAAGCTCGTGCACACACTGTGACTCATGTCAGCCGCTCATAGCTGGATGAGGCCAGTCAGAGCAGCTGTCACCAGTGAACTGCTCACCGGTGAGCAGTGGATGGACGGTTAGAGAGGGAAGGGTTGGAGCCATGTCCAGAGTTAGGTCTTCCCATCCCAAACCCAGCCCTCCAGGCCGTGGGGGAGAGTAACAGATTGAGAGAAGCTGCAGAGAAAAGGGATTCATGTCCTTCCAAAGTCTGTCTAGTCTCTGATGGCATCTGCAAGGCAGTAAGGAGACTGTGCCTGCCAAGCCTTGGGACAACTTCCCACAAACTGATAACCCCAGCTCCGGATGGGCAGCCACCTTGCTGGAACAGAACAGACTTATGCACTCCTGTTCCTGCCGGTCAGGTGCTCAGCATACTTGCGCTCGTCCCCTGCACCTTCTGAAATCCTCAGAATGAAGCTTTCTTCCCTGCACTCAAAGGCTCACTAAGGGTGGGGTCCTGTCCAGGCAGCGATGCATCTGGCTTACAGTAGGTGCTCTATCGGAGCTCAGTGAGCAGAACTGAAGCAATAACCCTACTTTT